TCAGGAGCACGGCCATCGAACCAGCTCTGGAGACGGCGGCCGAGAAGTGAGGGGATAGAGTCAGGGAACAAGGAGGAGGAGAGGGATCGGGCGAGTGCTCTCTGCGGCCGCGCGCGGCGTACTTCATCGCCTGCGTGTCGAATCTCGTCACACGCCGCGGCCGTCGCTGTCCGCCACGCGTCCCCAGGGATCCCGGGAGCATGGGGAGCTGCGGGTGAAAGACTGGCAAAGAATTCGCAAATGCTTGTCGGGTTCATCCAACACTCCGGGCTCAGACGCCCTGTCGCGACGTGTGGGAGACTCCCAAACATCTCAGCCTGCGACGACAGAATTTCGAGCGAACCCCGCCATCCACCCTCCCCGAGTTCACGAAGCGTGTGAAACGCCGTGCGCCACGCTGAAGCCGCGCACATGACTCGAAGCGACCGTGGGGTGGCCGAGGTGAGCCAATTACCTATGCTGTGGAGCTCAGCGAAGCCAAAGGAGTTGGGGGGGAGGCGAAGGAGGCGGTGGAGGACGTGACGCTCCGCGCGGAGGAGGGAAACGGGAGGGGGGAAGAGCTGGCATAGGTAGCTCAATACAGTGATGGCGCCAAAGTTGTAGATGCGGCAACTGGCTTCCGTGGGGGATCGTGACAAGGCAATTTCCCACACTCGTTCACGCCATTTGCGTGTGGGTGCCGCCCACTGTACGTCGAGTTCCGCCGACGGACCGAATTGCATGCCAAGGAACTCCGTGGATCCAGCTATCTTGAAATCAGCCCATGCTGGGATGAGGGCCAGGATCTGCTGTCGGTATTTCTGCACAACGGCGTCCGAGCACCGCTCAGCCAGCGGAACGATGGCGCATTTCGCCGGCTGCAGAGAGAGGTTGGCAAAGGTGCGGGCGGCGTCGAAGGGGGGGGAGAGCAGAGGAAGGAGGCCAATCGAAGGGAGAGTCGCACCTACATCGTCCGCCGTCGCTCCGCACTCCGGCTCCAGCTTTGGAGTCCACCGACATGGCCCCGGGCACAACCTACGAGCCTGCTGAGATTCCAATTGGCCCGCAAGGTGCCTCAAGAACGGGTCCATGATCAGAGCCCACAAAGACCCCGAGAGGGGACATCCCTGGGCAACTCCAGAGGTCACCATGAAGAGGAGGAGCTTCTTGGAGCCGCAGCGGGAATGGGCGAGAGCCCCTGAGTAGAGTGCAGCTATAAAATTCGTGTAGCCCCTCGGCATGCGGTGCTTCGCAAGGACCAAGAAGAGGAAAACCTGGGAGAGGGAGGGGAAAGCAGCGCGGATGTCAAAGGAAACAAAAAGTGGCAAGAAGGAGGGATGGTGGCCAGCAGCCCGGGCTACCGCATCCTGGCGCACGATGTGAGAAAGAAAAGTGCGGCCTCGGATGAAGCCTTGCTGCGCGCCGTGGGCCCGCTCAGCCACTAGTGGCACCAGCTGCGCGTTCACTGTCGCCGCCATCGCCTTCACGTCCGAGTTCTTCAGAGAGAGGGGTCGCAGCTTGGACGCATGGCGGGTGACGTCCAAGATGTCCGTTGGGTCAGTGCCCTTGGGTGAGGAGGAGGAGGAGGAGGAGGAGGAGGAGGAGGAGGAGGAGGAGGAGGAGGAGGAGGAGGAGGAGGACGCAACGGCGAGCAGGGGGGCGAGTCCAGGCGGAAACAACGGCGGCGGCCACGACATGGAGAGATGACTCTGGCGAAGTGTATGTGTGTGTATATATATATGAATAATCAAACAAATTGCAGAAGGCATCGGCTATCACCACTGGCCGGCCCCGTGTGCCGCACAGGCCCCCGTGGGGACGTGAGCGCACCCCGTCGAGGAGGAGGAGGAAGAGGAGGAGGAGGAGGAGGAGGAGGAGGAGGAGGAGGAGGAGGAGGAGGAGGAGGAGGACCAGCACGCAGAGGTCACGTCTCTCCCCCTCCCCCTCCTCCCCCTCCTGCCCATCCTCCTTCCCCTCGCTTCTCCTGCTCCCTTCGCATTTCCTGCGCTCCTCTACCACCTTCGCCTTCACCTCCTCCTCCTCCATCTCCTCCTCCTCCTCCTCCTCTTCCGTTTCCTCCTTTCCTCAATCCCTCTTCATGGAACATACTTCCACTTTGACGCTTCGATAGGGCGGGCTGGAATTCCGCCTGAGACTTCATGACCGCCTGTGTCGTTGAGGCCTGGCAATTTCACCATCTACACGGTTGGAGGGCGAGTGGTTTTCAAAAGGTGCTCTGGCTGTAACGCCGCGCGCGTTCGTCTTAAACATATCCAGCAATAACCATGCTGGAACACGGGTGGGTTTCAAACTGTGGCTATCGCCGTATCGCCGCGCTCAGTTGTCTTGCACGTCGTCTCTCACAACTGCAAAGATGGAAGACAGGCACATTTCAATATGTAGCTCCTCCTCCTCCCCCTGTTTTTCCTCCTCCTCCTCCTCCTCCTCCTCTTCCTCTTCCTCCTCCTCCTCCTCCTCTTCTTCATTGTTTGAGTAGGAGATCGACTACCGAATTGGTTCACCCCCAAATTCTTTTCGGTCGATTCTATTCAAAAGTGCGCAGAATGCTCCGTGGATCTACGGAGCGTTCTGCGTATTTTTCGTACATTCGGCGAACAAGAAGTTGTTGGGTAAATCAACTCTGTAGTCGATCTCCTACTCGACTCCTCCTCCTCCTCCTCCTCCTCCTCCTCTTCCTCGTCTTCCTAATTGTCGGCCTCCTCATCGGCATCGTGGCCCTCCCAGTCGCTTGAGGCCGAGGAGGGAGGAAGCCTACCCGAGGCTCTCCCCAGCTCGGCGTGGGCCTCTCGGTCCTCCTGGCCCACGCCGAACTGGAGACGCCTCCGCACTGTGTCTGGTTTCTGCGACTCCGGCTCCGACTCCGTACCCCCCTCCCTCGCGACGCTACTTGGGGGCCCCGAAACGGTGCGGTGACAGAGCGTGCGGTGACCTCGGCCCAGCTGCCCGAGACGTGCCGGAGAACGGCCCAAGTCCCCCAAAACCGTGCGGTGATTTTGAATCTCCAATGACTCGCCACTCCACCGTCGTTGCGAACAGATTGCATCATCGTCAAGCTCACGACTGGAATCCTAGACGCCATCGTTCTGAACCATTTTTCGAGGCGGATCGATCTGCGAGCTTCCCGGTGTCCGCAAAGTCGCCCGTTGTGGTCACCGCACTGTCTGTGTGCCTCCGAGGCACGACTGCTTCGTGACGCGGCCCTCCCGGGGCCGTCGACTCCGCCCCCAGGGCCAATTGCTCGCCCAAGGGCAGTCCTGCGACGGTCCTGGGCCAGAGGCCCGAAAACGGCAGGCAAATCCTTGAATCTTCGATCCTCGGTCCTCGATCCCTCCGCCTCGTGGTTTTCCTCCCCCTCCGCCTTCCTTGCCCCAGCTCCCACTGTTGTGCCACTATGCTCACTTCGACTGCCGTGAAAGAGACAAGGCCTGGGAGAAACGGGTTTTGGACCACGGGGCTCGCCCCCAGGAATGTTTCTTCATCTGGAGTCGTTCTTGGACGGTCCTGGGGCCAGGCAAGGACACTGGGATGCCGAAGTTAGCGAAAACCTCAAGTCACCTTTCCCTCAGAACCCTTTTATGCGGCCATTACGCTGTATATGAATATCGAGGTCTTAGCAGTTAGTGAACTTGAGCGTGAGCCTACGAACATCACTCGCGGGCAATTGCAGAAGACTGAAGCTGGGCTCTGACAAAAGTCCTGTCTTAAGCTGAGAGACGACTAAAGGCCTGGCTTCTGAACTCATTCAAACCTATACGACCACCCTTCGGGTGATAAGGAGGTTGCGGAGTGGGGGGGAAGAACCAACTGCTGACAAACGCGATGGGTGTGATGATGACGATACTGGTGACGCGCCCTCGAATTGGCGACGACGCGTGATGACAGTGTTGCGCTCCGATGTGATGTCACTATCTTCTTTGCTTTCGACCTCAGGGCTCGCCGTTCCACTGCGATCTCACCCTCGAACCTCCGCATTCTTTGCGATTTGGCCATTACTATCTGCGCGCGGGCATGCACTCTCAAAGTCGGCGCTGTTCACAAGGGCGACGGCGGGGAGCGCGCGGACTTCGAGCCTCTCTCGGGCACCAGACCCGGCCGAGATCGGCACGCCTCCCCAGAACGCCGACCGCAACATTCCCAGCTCGGTGGAGATCCACCTTCGTGTCGGCCAACGGCCATACCCCAGATTTCGTAATAAAGGGAGGGGGTCTCATTTCGGGGGGGGGGGTCTTTTCCAAGCTATCTTGGGGGTCTGGGGACGATGTTTTGGAGGGTTCTCCCACGGGGGGGGGGGTCTGAAATGGCTTGTCTTGGAGGGTCCAGACCCCCTCCCTTTTATTACGAAATCTGGAGTCCCCATTTCCATTCTGATTCGAAGCCGACCGCCTCCGCCTGGCCGTCTGGCGTCGGGTTGGCTGCCCAAAACTGACAGCGCCGCTGTTGGGCTGCCGGTGTTGCCGCGAACACTGCCCGCGGCGTCACCGACAACGAATTCTGCCCACAACAGACAGAAGCTGCTGCCAATGTTCGTCCGCATAACTTCTGTTCCCATTCCGATCCTCCCAGCTTCGGGCCAGAACTTCGAGGGAAAGTAGCGAGGGGAGGCCTCAAAGAAGCCCCAACAAGTGCGAGAGACATGTTCAATACTTGCACCCTGACGACATATTGCCCGAGAGCTGGCCCAAGAACGGCTAGGAAACAAGATGAGGCACATGACTCACTTTTGCGGCCAGTCTCTCTGTTTAAGGCTGTGACATGACCTGTCTATGGCCAGGAAGCGGCCCACCTGGCCCTTGAAACAACATAGCATTATTTTCTGTGGGAAAGAAAATTTCCTATGGCACGATCCGCAGCTCGGTGGGCATCAAGCCCAGAAAACGCACCTGTAGCGGTGTGCGTCGAACGTGCAATAATGCTGCCAGATCGATCGAAGACGTCCGGCTACGCGGAGAAACACGGCGCCTGCAGGCGCAACACGGGAAACAAACTGGCGTGAGCGGTCACTACATGACGTGCCCTGTCACGATCGTGCCGGCCACCATGGGAGGGGCAGGTTGAGCCATCTCTTCGGGCAGCGTCGCGCCGCGGCTGGCGCCGCGCTTGAGCTGCTCCTGCTCTGCTGACATGAAGCGGATGTCTAGAGTCCTCTGATGGGTGTACAGGCCCGCGTCCTGAACTGGCAAGACCCACGCGGCCACGTTGCCGTCGTTGTGGTGCGAATGCCACCATCCTGGGGGCGTCACGAACACTCCTCCGCTCTTCCACTCCGCTCGCACAGGGTTCACAATCGACCCATTAGCATTCAGCTCGCGTCCCAGGAGGGAATAGACCTTTCCCGTCTGCCCGCCGAATACGGCCAAGTCGAGAGCAACCGAGTTGTGCTTGTGCGGGTCTTGGCTGGCATTCGCGCCAATCGAATTGAGCAGCGACCACATCGTCGGCGTCAAAGTCTTCGTCTGGGACGTCGCCACGTTTCCGAGCAGGATGCCCCGCCGGTTGCGGACGTGCCCCGACTCATCCTCGTTCGGGATCGCCGCAACCGTATCCCTGGTAGAATTAGTTGTAACAGTAACAATGATACATTAGTGCTCGTTATGAGCAACAATAGTACCACTCATAGGATAAGTAAGCGTGTAACTACACAGCCGCCAATCCCGCGTGTGAGTTTCAAAAAGCTTTATCTTCACCTCAACTCTGCTGGGGGGGGTGCCAGAATGGTTCTGCCGGGAAGGGGGAAAGGGGGGGGGGGGCATGTATTAATTCCCCCTCCCATGGGGGACCCATTGCGTAATTGATTTGCCCATCCCGAATACTGGGGGAGGGAGCCCCCCCTCCCCCCACACGGCGCTCCCTGGACGCGGCGAGAGCTCCCTCCCCGGTTCCTCCTGTCCGCAAGACGGCTACAGAAGCCCTCAGCAGCCCCCGAGAGCCCGAGGATGCCCCACGAGACCTCCAAGGCAGCCCCAGAGGCGTCCAAGGCGACTCCAAGAACAGGCCCCGACTCTGGGAACAGAAGAACGTTTCGAGCTCTCGCGTTCCTCATGACGCTCTCAGGAATCTTCAAGAGACGCGCAAGAGTCTCCCCAGAGGCCTCCGATCTCTTCCCCGAGGCTCTGCAGACTGCAGACTCTCCGTAGAGACCCCTAGAAGCACCCTGGGGACTCTGATCAACAACCCAAGCACGGTAGCGGAATGGGCCGACGGCTATTATGCAAGGCTTCCCCAGTGCCGCTGCTGTGCTCTCCGTACCAATGCGGCAAATGGCGCAAGGTCGTGATACGATTTCAATTCCTGCCTCCCCATCGTCCCTTTCCCCCCCAGAACGACCGACAGATCGGTCTTTCTACCCTTTCTAGGAACCGCGCGGTGCATTTGTTCATTTCGGATGGATTTCTCACATGCCCGGGGCAGCAACCGGCCGCAAGAGGTGGAAGAAACCGAAGAACCTCCTGCAACCTCGACGTTTGAACGTCCTCGCCTTCTATCCCCCTCCCCCTTTCTCCCCTTGGCGTCTCCGGAAGCCTGCACAAGGCTCCTCGTCGTCGTCGTCATCGTGGTCGTCGTCGTCGTCGTGGTCGTGGTCGTGGTCGTCGTTCCCGTCGGGACACTCCGCCCTTTCCTGAACATGCGGCTTACGCTATGTCCGCGACCCCATGGCCAAAATCCAATGTAAATTTCGCTGTGTCTGCGCTCGCAGGGCCGGGATCCCTCGAAAATGACACTGTGTCCGCGATGATCCGAAAGGGCCCCAAGAGGCCTCGAATAAGGTCAAAGAGAGCCCTGGGATACCGAAAGATCGCTCTCAGATGCCCAAGATAGCCTCCAGACGGCTCAAGGGGCCGCCAAGACGCCACAAAAGGCCACGAAGGGCACTTCCAAACGGGCCCCAGGCGCAAATTCATTGACTCCCCAGAAAACTTCGAACAATGCTTGCGTTTCCGTCTTTTCGGCTTCCGGGCGCCCCACGACGGCCCAAGAGGCCCCGAAGATCGCCCCAAGACGGGCCAATACGCCTCCAAGAGGGTTTCAAGACGGCCCCAAAAAGCACCAGCGCGGCCCAAGAGCCCCCAAGACAGCCAGAGAGGCCCCTGAAACGGCTCTAAGAGAGGGCCCAAACGGGGACACGAACGGACATTGCGAGCCATTGGCCGAGGGGACCCCTAAGATGCCACCAAGGGGACCCAAAGGCCGCCAAGATGACCCCAGGAGGCCTCAAGAGGCTAAAAAAAAACACTATCCCGGCAAAGCAACCTAACAGCGATGTGTAGAAGCATATCTGAAAGCATTCCCCTTAAGATTCAGATGAAAATCCAGTTGTCGAATTCTGCTGTTCTCGCAGTCGTAGTCGCATTCGCGATGACAGACGCAGCGGCAACGGCAGTCGCAGTCACAGCCTCAGCCTCAGCCTGCCTCCTCCTCCTCCTCTTTCTCCTGCTCCTCCTCCTCCTCCTCCTCCTCCTCCTCCTCCTCTTCCTCCTGCTCGTCCTCGTTCTCGTCCTCCTCGTCTTGCTCGTCCTCCTCCTCCTGGTGCTCTCTCCTCCTCCTCCTCCTCCTCCTCCTCCTCCACCTCCTCCTCCTCCTCCTCCTCCTCCTGGTGGTCCTCGTTCTCCTCCTCCTGGTGCTCTCCCCCCCCTCTCCTCCTCGTCCTCCTCCTCCTCCTCCTCCTCGTCCTCTCCTCCACAACCTTACCTAACCACGTACCCATACCTCCAAGATCTTTCTTCCTCCTCCTCCTCCTCCTCCTCCTCCTTGCGGGTAGTCCATCCCTCCCTCACCTTCCTCATTACCTCCTCTTCTGGTTCGACCTCGAATCCACTTCCTACCACGTCTTGCACGTCCTACCTCCCTCCTGGTGTTCTCTCCTCCTCCTCCTCCTCCTCCTCCTCCTCCTGGTGGTCCTCGTTCTCCTCCTCCTGGTACTCTCCCCCCCCTCCTCCTCCTCCTCCTCCTCGTCCTCGTCCTCCTCCTCCTCCTCCTCCTCCTCTTCCTCCTCCTCCTCCTCCTCCTCCTCCTGGTACTCCTCCCCCTCCCCTCCTCCTCCTCCTCCTCCTCCTCTTCCTGGTCGTCCTCCTCCTCCTGGTCGTCCTCCTCCTCCTGCTCGTCCTCCTCCTCCTCCTGCTCGTCCTTCTTCTCCTGCTCCTCCTGCTCCTCGTCCTGCTCCTGCTCGTCCTCGTCCTCCTGGTCTTGCTCGTCCTCCTCCTCGTCGTGCTCTTGCCCCTGCTGAAAATGTGGCCCAGGAATGGGAGTTCTGGGAAGTCGAAGAGCACGAAGTTGCCTACAATTGGCTACGGGCATTCAAAATGTGGCCCGGGAATGGAGTTCTGGGAACTCGAAGAGCACGAAGTGGCCTACAGTTGGCTCCGGGCATTCAAAATGTGGCCCGGGAATGGAGTTCTGGGAACTCGAAGACCAGGAAGTGGCCTACAGTTGGCTCCGGGCATCCAAAATGTGGCCCGGGAATGGAATTCTGGGAACTCGAAGAGCACGATGTGTGTGACTGTTGCATACGGCCCTCCAGAATGTGGCCCGGGAATGGCGTTCTGGGATGTCGAAGAGCACGAAGTGTGTGACTGTTGCATCCGGCCCTCCAGAATGTGGCCCGGGAATGGCGTTCTGGGATCTCGAAGAGCACGAAGTGTGTGACTGTTGCATCCGGGTATTGAGAATGTGGCCTGGGAATGGAGTTCTGGGAAGTCGAAGAGCACGAAGTGTGTGACTGTTGGTGAAAAACGAGCCCGGCACCCTGCCGCCCGGCAACTCCCCAACACCTGCCCGGACCCCCCTGTGGAGTGATCTGTGAGCTCTTTTGAGACCACTAGAAACCTATCAGTCTTCGCTGTTAGGTAACTACAAGGACCCCACGAGGGCCATGCACAAGTCGCCCAGCGTCCACGTCACCGTTGTTATCCACGAGATTGTCGTCGTCGTCCCTCGTTTGCCGTCGTCAGTTGTTGCTGATCGTCGTCGAGATCACTCGTCGGTCGCTTACACAAGTCGTAGTAGTAGTAGTAGTAGTAGTAGTAGTAGTAGTAGTAGTAGTAGTAGTAGTAGTAGTCGTAGTCGTAGTGGTAATAGTAGTAGTAGTAGTAGTAGTAGTAGTGGTAGTAGTAGTAGTAGTAGTAGTAGTAGTAGTAGTACACATAGTAGTAATAGTAGTAGTAGTAGTAGTAGTAATAGTAGTAGTAGTAGTAGTAGTAGTAGTCGTAGTCGTAGTAGTAGTAGTAGTAGTAGTAGTAGTAGTAGTAGTAGCTAGTATAGTAGTAGTAGTAGTAGTAGTAGTAGTAGTAGTAATAGTAGTAGTAGTAGTAGTGGTGGTGGTGGTAGTAGTTAGTGGTTAGTGGTTAGTGGTTAGTGGTTAGTGGTTAGTAGTTCGTAGTAGGTAGTAGTAGTAGTAGTAGTAGTAGTAGTAGTAGTAGTAGTAGTAGTAGTAGTAGTAGTAGTAGTAGTAGTAGTAGTAGTAGTAGTAGTAATAGTAATCGTAGTAGTGGTCGTAGTAGTAGTAGTAGTAGTAGTCGTCGTCGTCGTCGTCGTCGTCGTCGTCGTCGTCGTCGTCGTCGTCGTAGTAGTAGTAGTAGTAGTAGTAGTAGTAGTAGTAGTAGTAGTAGTCGTAGTAGTAGTAGTCGTAGCAGTCGTAGTCGTAGTAGTAGTAGTAGTAGTAGTAGTAGTAGTAGTAGTAGTAGTAGTAGTAGTAGTAGTACTAATAGTAGTAGTAGTAGTAGTAGTAGTAGTAGTAGTAGTAAAATAGTAGTAGCAGTAGCAGTAGCAGTAGCAGTAGCAGTAGTAGTAGTAGTAGTAGTAGTAGTAGTAGTAGTAGTAGTAGTATTAGTAGTCGTAGTAGTAGTAGCAGTAGTCGTAGTAGTAGTAGTATTATTAGTAGCAGCGTTGGTCGTAGAAATACTCGTCGTAGAAGTGATAGTACTAGCAATAATACTAGTAGTAGTAGTGATAGTACTCGCCGACATAGTGGTAGAGTAGCAGTAATAGTAGTAGTAGTGGTAGTAGTAGTAGTAGTAGTAGCAGTAGTCGTAGTAGTAATAGTAATAGGAGTAGTAGTAGTAGTCGTCGTAGTAGTAGTAGTAATAATAATAGTAGTACGTCGTAGTCGCAGTCGTAGTTGTACGAATAATAACAATAAAGAAAATAGTAGCAGGAGTAGTCGTACTAGTAATAATCGTAGTCGTAGCAGTCGTACAAGTCGTAGTCGTCGTCGTCGTCGTCGTCGTAGTAGTCGTAGTAGTAGTAGTAGTGGTAGTAGTAGTAGTAATAGTAGTAGTAGTAGTAGTAGTAGTAGTAGTAGTAGTAGTAGTAGTAGTACTAGTATTAGTAGTAGTAGTAGTAATGGTAGTCGTAGTAGTGGTAGTAGTCATCGTAGTAGTAGTCGTAGTAGTAGTAGTAGTAGTAGTAACAATAGTAATAATAATAGTAGTAGTAGTAGTAGTAGTAGTAGTAGTAGCCGTAATAGTCGTACCAGGTCGTAGCAATAGTAGTAGTAGTATTCGTAGTCGTAGTAGTAGTACGTCGTAGTCGCAGTCGTAGTCGTACTGATA